TCTTCCTTTCCTTTCTTTTCCTTTCTGGTTTTTTTCTTCGAATCAATCTGTACGTGGGCAAATATTGTGGAATAATGCCTTGTATGTGTAAACAAAATATTTCTTTAAACAACAATAAATTAAACAAATTAATTTTATATAATCTAATATATTATAATATAACTTAAACTAATAAACGATTTTTATTATAATATAACTTAGTTAAAACAACAAACTAACAAACTAATTAAGCACTAATTAATTTTTTTATAATATAACTTCAACAAACAACCTAATATACGTTTAAAGATACTAACAAATTAATTAATTTTTTTATATTTAATAACTTAAACTAAGAAACTAATTAACTAATTTTTTATATAATATAATATATAACTTAAACTAACAAACTAATAATTTATACTAACAAACTAATTAACTAAATTTTAATTTTACCCTAAACCTTAAGCTAACAAACTAATAATTTCATATAATAAACTAAATTAAACAATAAAAAATTACCTCAAAAAAGAATGTTTGAGCTTTTATCTTCTTTTATTCTTCTTCATTTTCTTTCTCTCGAAAAGTTTCTATATGTGTTGCTTTTGCTTCTGCTTTTACCCTAAACCCTCATATCCTCTATTTAAAGCAAATGAGCATTGGAGAGCGTCATTAATTTGGCTGTTGAATCAAATAATATTGAGCATTGAATCGTGTAACTATTGAGCGTTGAAAGGCTGCAATTCAACAGCAATATTTGTTGCATTTAACAGCTAAATTAACGATGCAATAATGTAACTATGGATGCAGAAATCTCCCAGCTATGGATGCAACGCATGCACGAGGGAGCAGAGGGTTAAGTTTGGTCGTCAGCTTGGTCGCCAGGCGTGCATGGTGACCTACCATGTCGCCAAGACTGCTTGGCGACCTACACAAAGAAAATTCTATGTGCATGGGCCATGCACTGCTCCCTGGATAGCTCGCACTCACTCCTTGGTCGCCCAGAGTGCATGGCGACCTACGGCTTCACTGTAGAATTCACATTATCTCAACAAATAATATGTCCAAAGCATTATATCGTGAAATAAAAATTAGAGAGCATTATCTCGTTGATTTTATCTAGTAATACGTATCACCCCTATTAAACTAAAAAAATAAAATAGTAAATTGTGTGCTGCACAGGTTTCGAACCAAAGAAAAGTGGCAATTAAATGGATGCCTAAATCACCCCACCAGTTTGTACATTACAGCATATTTTATATAACTAATGCAATTAATGGCAGGAAACAAGAAGTAAAAATGCAAATTGGAAGGCACAACAAGGATAAAATTACTTAGCCCAATCACAATTTAAATATGATTTTATTAATTTTTATATTTTTATTAATGGAAACATAATTCTTAATTTGTACTTATTAATTATGATTTATATTATTTTTTTATATTTCTAATCTTTTTGTTAATGGAAGAAATGATTCTTTATTTTTATTTATTAACTATAATTTATAACATTTTTATATATTTTTAATTTTTATTAATGAATAAATATTCTTAGTTTTTATCTCTTAACTACAATTTACAACATTTATATATATATTTATTTATTTTAATGAAAAAATCATTCTGAACTTTTATTTATTAGTTATAATTTAATTTTTTTTTTTTAATTGAATAAATATTTATTAATTGTATTTATTAATTATAACTTAATAGTTATATACAATATTAAATTATAATTAATGAATAAAATTAATTTTTTATAGTAAAAGTTAAGAATTATTTCTTCCATTAATAAAGTTTAAAAACTAAAAAAAATGTGGTGAATTATATTCAAATATGTAATTGAACTTAATGATTAAAATAATTTCATAATTTGTCCCAATTTGCATTTTTATTCCTTTTTTTTTTGTTAGTAAACTGAATAAGTATATATAGCATGTTGTCAAAAGGAACCAAATGAGGGTTTGGTGGAGTGGTTTTGTCGCGTGTTTGATTTTCCGTTGTCTCAGGTTCAATTCTAGCCTAGCTGTCAATTCACCATTTCTTTTTCTTATTCACCACCTTATTAAAAGAATTAAATACATTTAAATAAAAAATTAAGAAAATATCTTTTAACCAGATAATAAAAGAACTCGAACGTGCTATCTTATGGCTAACCTCATTTGGTCCGTGACAATAACATGTGTCACAATTTAATTTGAGATTAAATTTATTTTAATTAAAATAAATTATATCAAAATTAATAGAATATATAAATATTAATGATCAAATATATAATTATACCAAGTTTCTTAACTGTCACATCTTCTGTTAAAGGTTAACCATCAGTGATTTGATTGAATCGTTTAAATAATTGTATGGTCTAATTGATCAAATCAAAAAATCGGTGATCAAAATAATTTTTAATTATAATTGAGTGGTCACCCGTATAGATTACCCAAAGATAAATTTTATAAGCAAAACGTAAGCACGTAAAAAGGACAACCGTGACCACGTCTCTCTGCCAAACAGTTTGTTGTCAGTAATAAGGATCCCTCGCTTATCTTTCTGCAACTCCCCTTTCCCATGTTTCTTGAAACCTGAATCCCGAAGAGGGAACCCCTTTGCTCAGTGGTTATTACCGTGGCTGGTTTTGGTTTCATTGTACATAAATATATCAACAACAACAACAAAAATATATTCTCATATGTAATGGGGTAAGGGAGAGATAGGGTAGTAGGATGTCCCCAACGCCAAGTTGAGAGTAATTTCTGTGGAAGACCTCCGACAGTCAGAAAATTTAAAAATAAATATAAAATTCAATGAATGTATAAATAGATAAATAAATATATAGTTGAACATTCTTCATATACCGTCTTCATATGCGCGTTTGTAATGGGAAGTAATCCCTGCAAATAAATCCATGCATAAAAATATCTGCATATAGACAGAAACGTAAGACCCGACTAAATTTAAAAAGAGGAAACATGAAGAGAAGGATAAACAGAAGTCATCGATAGCAAGCTACGAGAAGGAATAAAGTCAAATGGGTTAAAACCTAAACTAAGGTAACACTACTCCGTTACCCTAGTTCTAAGCCTTCATAGATTCCAATGACAGAAACGTATAAAAATTATAAGTCATGGAAATTACTACAAAAGCATTAAAAATAAGACATAGATGCTACACCCTATGGCTGTGACCCACACTACTCGGCTACCCTGGTCTTAAGTCTCCATAATTTCCTATCAGAGGTCATGTCCTCGGTAAGGGCTAAATTTTAATACAAAATTTTAAAATTTTCATTTTAATAATATACTTTTAAGTTGATTCAATGACTATGAGTTGAAACCTTTGAAGAGTTCTAGGTTTGATTTCTCTCCTTGCTAAAATATTTATCTCGTTTTGATCGACTAGTAAGGTGACTACGTGTGTTGTCGTCTTATTATAAGGTAAATACTTATTTAGGAATTAACATGTAAGCGTAATTTTCATTAAACATGTGAATATACTAACTCAATTGTCGTTAACAGTGACATTCTGATCAAAAAAATCAATTTTAATGATCAAAGTAAAAACATATGAAAAATTCAATGATTTAATTTTATATAAATTATCAACTAGTATAATTAATCACTTTCTTGGTAAGCAAGGATCAATTCATATGACATAAACTTCATAGCTAAAATTAGCACCAGTTTTCAAGATACTGCTCCATAGTTGTACGTTGACACTTTAAAAAGCTTGAAAGGGGATTAACGTGCAGTCCAAGCAATTTTCATCTGCAGGACTGCAACTATCGTTCTTAAACTGAAAAAAGGCAACCAAAGCCTCTTTCTCTTCCCTTAAAACTTGCTCGATCCACTAAACGAAACAGTTGTGTTTTGAGAGAAACTGCCTGTCCCGAGTGCTGTCACACATGACCAGTTCTTTGTATAGAGTTCTCATGTCACCCACTCTCAGAAATGTGCGTTTTTCTTTCATATACAAAATCTGAAATAATACAGAAGTGACCCATCGATTGGATATCATCACATGATCAATAAATGTCACTGTCCAATAACAGATGGACACGTTGATGGAGGGGGTACTCCTGCTAGACCCAGATGACCTGGATCTTTTTGTACTGGACCATTTGGTCTAATTATGGTACAACTTACCACGCACGAGATATAAATTTATTCATATATATAGAATGAGTTTATGGCAGAGTGTTGCTGGTTTCACAGCTAAATTTCACTGTGAAAATTCCTTGTCTTTTAAAGCTATATTGTCCGCATAGATACTGGTGATCTTTCCTTCTCTCACATGTCCAGAAAGTACATCTAAATTAGAATCATAAGTTATTGAGTATTACATTTAGCAGTTTGTGTATTACTTAATTGTATTATACTGTGTTCTTTTGTCAGTTGTGTAAATATAAATTTAACATTATACAGTTCCAGAAAAAATAATATTTGTGCATTAAATTTATTAATTAAACCTAATCCAATTTCATGTTTAAATTTAAGGCACAGTTTATTTATAATAATAATATTAATAATAAATAATAAATAATAAATAGACAGCATCATGTTAAGGTTGTCGTAGATTTCAGTATATGTATTTTTTTCTAATTACAGCTAAGATTGGAGGGAGAAAACAATAACGAACACAGTAAGTCTGTGTGTGAGCATTAATAGTGGGATCAACCCTCACTTTTTTAAGCAGCAAAAGACAGCCAATCACTGGTCAGATAATTAAAAAAAAGAATACAAAAAGAAACAGACAAAAATACACATTGAATCCGAGGCGAGTGACCGGCACTGACCAATCGCAACACAGAGCGCCATGGGCCCGCTTGCAGCTTTCTTGTCCTAAAATGTGTGAAATAATCATTTATGACCGGAAAACGACACCTCTCTCCACCACGTCTCGAAGGCAACTCACGCCTTCATTGGCGAGCGTGAGAGTTCCTTTCACCCCAACTCCTATGCTGACAACACTCCCCAAATTGGTTGCTTAAAAAATAAAATAAACATAACCTTCAGTGCTCCCAATCCTACGCTGAATCCGCTCCGAAGCAAGCATCAATACACAGCCGTGATGGTTAATTATCCATGTGGATGATTTTTATTTGGCATGAAGATGGAAGGATGTTGGGAGTGGAAGTAGAGGATTAAGAGTAAGATCAGTGAAAGAGCTCTCTGTTTTTCTCTTCCATCACCTCTCTTCGTTTGCTGTCGCAATAAAGGAGAAAGTTTTTATCTTTCTTTAAGTAAAGAAAAGGTGAGAGCTTTTTTGAAGAGTATATATATATATATATCTCGATAGAGAGAGAGAGAGATAGAACGGGAGATTTTAGAGAGGGAGAGGGAGGGGGGAAATGGAAGGCATAGAGGAAGAACAGAGCGGAGAAGAGGAGGTCCTAGGGTCAAGCTTGACGATGGAGAAAGTGGCAGCGGCTAAACAGTTCATTGAGAATCACTATAGATCTCAGATGAAGAATATTCAAGAACGCAAAGAAAGGTATTGCTTTACTTATTATTCTAACAAAAAAATTCAAATGTTTTTGCTTGGTTTATGATCTTTGTTTGGTTGCTGAGAAATCGAAAAAGAAAACGGTACGAGCTTTGAATGTTAGATTAGTGCATTCTTTTTGGTGAAACCAGTGAACTTTGTAGTTAGCTGAACCTACCTTCAATTGCTTCTTCTTTTTTAATTCAATTTTCTGGTTTTGAGCTGATGACTACGGTGGTTGCTTTGCTTTGTATGTGGCTTACATGTTTTCTTGTTACTGCTTGGGGAGTGGATTAATGTCAAACTAGGTTCCATGTTAGGAAATTGGGGGCATTTAATTGTAGTATTTAACAATTTTCCCAAATCAGGTAAATTTTTCGAAAAGTGGTCAAGAAAGTTTCTTGTGTATTTTTTCTTTGCTGAATGCTCAAGTTATAATGCAAAATTGCTCCAGTTTGAAGCTACTATTAATTGTCTTTTACAGTTTTGATGATCCACACTTTCTTTGTACTATTGGTATTTTATAGTTCAGGTTCTTCTTCTTCTTCTTTTTTAAAGGAGGTCCTCTTGTATCTTCAAGAAAACAGTGTTAAAAGCAAAAATTTTATTTTGGAAAATATGGAAAATTTAGGACTTATGCAAATACCTTATACCTTTATATTTCATGCGACTCATCATAAGGTAAATATTGATTCCAATATATATTGATTAAGAAAATGATGGAAATCATGCTTCGCTTCACTGATCTAGAGGATGTGCAGACTTTATATGTAGAAAACTGATGGATTTCAATACTTTATCTTAAGGGGTTTTTAATCAATTCTAGAATATGACTTTTGGATTTTGTTGTAATTGAGATTTATTTGCAATGAAGTTTCTCGTTCCTTGTAACACTGTTTTCTTCAACCTGATGTAGCCTTCTCAAAATGTTGTCAACAATTGTATGCTTGCAGTTGGTATTGCCAATTTCAAGTTAATAACATGGTTCAGTTTCGTTGCAGACGATGGGTACTGGAGAGAAAGTTAGCTGCTTCAGATGTGCCCCAGGAGGAACAGATCAATCTGATAAAGGATTTAGAGAGGAAAGAGACAGAGTTTATGAGACTTAAAAGGCACAAGATTTGTGTTGATGATTTTGATCTTTTAACCATTATTGGAAGGGGAGCCTTTGGTGAGGTTAGAATGCTAGTTCTTGTCATGCGCCAAAACTATTTGTTGCTTCTAACATAAGCTACTTCATAGTCTCTTTGATCCGGAACTACGTGCTGCTTTTGGCTTCTTATATATATATATAACCATTCAATGGCTGCATGAAGTATCTTATTGCTCATACATGTTCTGCAGGTTCGCTTGTGCCGGGAGAAGAAGTCTGGAAATATTTTTGCAATGAAGAAGTTAAAGAAATCTGAAATGCTTATGAGGGGACAGGTACCATGCAATGAACATTCATTTTAAGTGTACCTCCAAAGTCAGTGTTGAGGAGGGTGGAACTTTTGTCAACTATTGCTTCTATGTTTCACCTTTTGGTTTTAAAACTTATGTACACATTCTTAACATATTAACTTCATGCTTTAGTTTACGTTGTTTAATCTTGTCTGATATTCAGCTGTTGTCTGATCCTTGGTTGATACCTAACCTTCATATAAACATCACATGCTTCAAATTCTATTATGTTGTCATTTTCCATTAGTATCCTTTGTATACTGCTAATCTAAACTGTACTTTCACTCCTTAGGTAGAACATGTTAGAGCTGAGAGAAACTTGCTGGCTGAAGTAGCAAGCCACTGCATAGTGAAACTTTATTATTCATTTCAAGATGCTGAATACTTGTATTTGATCATGGAATATCTTCCTGGTGGTGATATGATGACTCTGCTAATGAGGGAGGATACATTAACTGAACATGTGGCTAAGTTTTACATTGCTCAAACTGTCTTGGCCATTGAGTCAATTCACAAACATAATTACATTCACAGGTTAATATGTTGGCTTTCCCTATTATGTTGCCTAATTAGTTCATTTTGAACTAGGGTGATGTGATAATTTCTTTTGATAGTTAATACAAGTTATTTTTCCTCATCTTAGTTCTTTACATTCACTTCCTTTCCAGAGATATTAAACCTGACAACCTTCTTCTGGACAAAAATGGTCACATGAAGTTATCGGATTTTGGCCTTTGTAAGCCTCTTGATTGTACAAATTTACCAGCAATCCATGAGAATAAGCCCATGGATGATGAAACTATGATGGATTCTATGGATATTGATGGATTTATTGCTGATAAGAGCAGTTTTAGAAGCCCTCAGGAGCAGCTTCAGCATTGGCAGATGAACAGAAGAACGTTGGTAAGTAAACGATTTACTTCACTGTCTTTACTCTTTATCTTTTAATACATTATCCTCAGAGTACATTCCAGATGATTCGACAAGCACAGATTATTTAAAGCACCTCACTCCGTAGAGATGTTGCTTTAAGGTTTAATATTAATATTTTCTCCATTTTCCCTCAGCAAAGTTCCAATTTTGACGCTTGATTGATACTTGGACTAATGGCACTGTTTCCCTTTCTTTACCAGACTACTTGTCAACTTAAAGTGAAACGTAAAATTCTAGAAGCTCCTTTATATATGTGTTTTATTCCTCCTTTGAACTAAGCCTACTTATCTTGTTACTACATGTGAAAATTTGTATTCAATACCAGACTTTCTCAATGGCAACAAATGACAAACATCATTCCTTTAAGCATTTTTAAAAATTGTTTTCCTTTTGCAAATAGCTGCACTGTTAACTATTAATGAATCTTAAAGCTCAAGGAGAAGGATTTTTGGTAACACATTGAATAGCTACATAAATAGTAATGCAACCAGATTATGATTTTAAAGACATGGTATAGTTTGCAGGGCAGTTTTCCTGTATTTTGGTTTTTAATTTTTCGCTTCTTTTTGTTGAAGGCATTTTCAACTGTGGGAACGCCTGATTACATAGCTCCGGAAGTGTTGGTGAAGAAAGGATATGGCATGGAATGTGACTGGTTAGTCGTATTTCATTTCAGTTCTCTTCAATCATGGTTGCAATCGGCATCTGTTACTTTTTCTCCGTTTAGTTGCTATATGTTCGTGTGCAAGGCATATCTGTTCTACTTTTCTTACCATGCGTCATCTATCAACTTTTCCAGTAACAATTTCAAATGTGGTAGCTAACAATTGCTGAAAGATCTGTCAACTTCCTATTGCATAGCCACAGGTTCCTTTGTGAAGTTCTCTTATCATAACTTAAGTAATGCTGCCTTTTCTGTTGACTGCTTTTAGGTGGTCACTAGGAGCAATAATGTACGAAATGCTAATTGGATATCCTCCATTTTATTCAGATGATCCGATTACCACATGCAGGAAGGTAACACTTCTGTCTGGCTTTATTTTCTTAGCTCTAGTTTAACTAAGATGTATTCTTACGCTTAACTTTCTTCCGTGCTCTCTCCAAATTCAAGATATTCTTCGATCTAGTTTATCTTAGATATTCTTGGAGCAATCGCTCTTTTCCTAACATTTTGGTCGTAAATCATTTTTAGATCGTGCATTGGAGAACTCACCTAAGATTTCCTGAAGATTTGAGATTAAGTCATGAGGCAAAGGATCTCATATGTAGATTGCTTTGTGATGTCGATCACCGATTGGGTACTGGAGGGGCACATCAAATTAAAGTAAGGTTATGATACATTGTGATGCTATTCCTTTTCTACCAACTATCTATTCCTCATTTGGTTATTGACATTTCATTTTGTCAGGCTCATCCTTGGTTCAAGGATGTTGTGTGGGATAAACTTTACGAGATGGATGCTGCATTTAAACCTGAAGTGAATGGAGAATTAGATACTCAAAATTTTATGAAGTTTGACGAAGTATAACTCGAATTTCCCTTTTTCTATTACCTCTGTTTTTTCTTATTCCAAATGCTAATCACTTTGTTCACTATTTATTTATCCATGTTGGTGAAATTAAAGATATGTTTTTTCTCCTAAATTGACCACTTTTGGAATTCTCATCAGTTGGATGCTCCATCACCTGCAAGATCTAGCTCGGGACCTTCACGGAAGGTTTGTAACAGAGAATACTATCCAACTAGTGCATACCGTATTATTTACACTTTTTTTGTTCTACAATATGATCTGATAATACTATGAATACACAATTATTGAATTTCTATTCCTTTTCCTTTTTCTGTTCAAAATATGTCAGTTTACAAGACAATTGATATCAGCTTTCAGTGGTCTCTCTTCTGAAAAAAAACTCTTTATCAGTGACTTGTGACAACAGCAAATGTATAGATGTGAATCATATACATATTTTGCCCACTAAAATAAACATGTTTGGTTATATCTTGATATTATTTGTACAGAGTAGCGAGTACCTGACATGCGAAAACATGTTGAAGTTTATTTATATGTTTTCCTAATTGATGCAGATGCTTTTAACACCTAAAGATCTAAATTTTGTTGGTTATACATACAAGAATTTTGATGCCGTCAAAGGGCTTCGCCATTCTTCTGGTATGCAATTTCACTGAAGTGTCGAGATTATAAGCTTTTTCTCTATTATACTTGTCCTTATTGATATTGATTAAGCTTCAAAGTTCTCTTTCATATACTTCATATTCATCTCATGAGGAAGTAGGAACTGTGAGTTGGAGGTTAAAATAGATGCTACAGTAGCAGCAGACGTGGAATGCCATAATGAATTAGCCTTGATTCCTTTGCAACTGAACCTTTTCCTCTGGAAGGATAAATATGCTAATAGTTTTAGGTAGTCGAGTAGCAACTCACTTTTTGAATGCGTCTAAAGAGCAATGGAAAATCACAGATTTCCTGTGCTACGACTATTTGACAATCTTTAACAACACAAGCTCCATAATTTTTATAAATAAGGAGTTAGATTTAGACCTGTGGATGTCAATGAGAATGGAGTTAGGATGAACCAATCAATGAATGTTGAACTCATCGTGGTAACATGTTGCTCCTACAAAATATCATTTTGATGCGCTTAACTGCTTAATCCGCAGCTCATATTGTTAGCTATTGCGGCATTGCCAGTTCAAAAACGTTGGTAAAATCCTCTCGAGAGAATAGGCTTTGTGCAGCATTTGACAGAGGCAAAACACAGATTTGGTTCTGAATTTCTAGGTGGACTATTGTGAACTGAAATGATATAAATTTCCAGATTATTTCACCTAGGGGCAACTAGGTGGGCCTGCAAGATTTAGTAGTCCAACTAAAGACTTAAAAATACCTCTCCAACAGTAATAAGATCACCTTAAAATAGGGGTGAGCAAAACTCAACTCGACTCGAAAAATCGATTTTTTTTTTCAATTTCGAATTATTTGAGTCAACTCGAATTATCAATTCGGTTTTCGAGTTCGAGTCGAGTTGAAATTTTGAATTTTCGTGCCACTCGAAAAACCAAAAATTTGACCAAGTATTTTGACAGTTTTACGATTTAGTCTCTGATTTTATTATTTTTTTAATTTCTCCTTCATTTTAAGTCCATTTTTTACCAAATTTGAACCACATGCTCCTAAACCATTGTAGAATACATATGTACTTTCAATTCCTCTTTCTGATAACAAATTTTCTAATTTTCAATTTAGTCCCTTAATTTTTAATAATTTCGTCATTTCTTCAATTCATCCTTTATTTTAAGTCATTTTTTTACCAAATTTGAACCACATGCTCATATACCCCAATGGAATACCTATGTAACTTCAATTTTCTACTTTTTTACTAAAAATGTACTCTCTTTTTTTATTTAGTCCCTTAACTTTGCATTTGACTAAATTTGTTCTTTTGACTTCAATTATTTGCAAATTCTTTCTTCCCATCAATTCCTTGACTCCTTTATACTCTCAAAATACTTTCTTTAAAATATAATATTATAAATATATTTTATAATTTTAGATTGTATTTGATATATAAAATAACATTATAATGTGAAAAGAATAATATATATATATATATATGGTTAAAGAAAGTCAAAAAATTGGAACAAATCCTTGCCATAATACTATAAATAATTATAATAAAATTAGCATAAAAACTCGAATAACTCGACTCGAAAAAAGTTCAAGTCAAGTTCGAGTTGAAAAATATGACTTGACAACTCGAATAACTCCAAATTTTTTGACTCGACTCGATCGAATACTCACCCCTACCTTAAAATGCTAGAATTTGTTGACATTCATGGAACCTAGTGCTTTAGAAATATAATATTTAATTTTCTCATTGTCCAGTATCCAGTTTTTCTTTTAAATAGTGAAGAGATTAGATATCACTTTCCTAAACTATTTCACCTGTGTAGATTTCAAGAATCCATCGATGGAACAGCAATCCCATGATTCTATATATGGTAATGAATCTTTCTCCTTCATGTATCTACCAATATATCTGACTGTCTGTCTGTCTTATTCTTCTTTTTTCGTTCAACTTTCTACCATTATATTAATGTTATAATTTGTCTTTCTTCACTATTAAACGGATCAAGTTAGCACCTACCTGCAGGTGATTCAGGGGTAGGTTATTCTACTAGGTTATCAGCCGAGGAAACGGAGATGCAAATGCTTGCCTCAGCAGGTGATCCCATGTTACCATAAAGTAACTAAAGGGACAACCTCTTACATTGATATACGGAACCACTTTGTTAAGTGTTCAGAAGTATTTAAAGAAAAAATTTAAAACCCAGTTCTTGGTTGATTGGTAGAAGCAAAGCAAAGATCCCTTTTTTCAGCAAAAAGGGCTGTGTATTAGAAGTTGGACGAGGGTTCTGAAGCTTGATGATGCACTGCCACTGGCTGCCCAGGCTGGCTTTGGTGAATTTGCCTTCTCTAGTTGCAGTTTCTGGTCAAAGTTTCAAGTGATAGCAAACTCATGAGAAACTCTATTAAGCTATTTTGGGAGCAATGATTCCCTTATTGTTGTTGTGTGTAAACTTATTAGCAAAAGCTAGAAATTAGCTTTGGGGAAATAACATTTTGCTGATAAATTTCATCTCAGTAAAATTGCCCATTGAAGCACTCGCTACCAATTTTGTTGTAGTGTGACTACTATCAAGCTTGTCCACTTTTGGAAATGTTATATCTTGAACAGTTTTAAGTTAGTCTTCCCTTTTCTTTCTTTGGCCATTCATGCAATTAGTAAGTGCTCCTCCATCAGGTGAAACACCACCTGAAAGTTGCTGCTTTGGACCATTATACCATATCACTCTATTCCGATTCGCCCAGTGGGTGTTCTTTTGATAAGTGGGCTGACCGTTGAGCTCATAATGGTCAATACTGCACGGCTACACCAGAAAATAATTTTTAAAAGATGATTATTTTATGTAACACGGATTATGAACATTCTAAATTGTGTAATGTATAATATGCTAGACATGAAAATTTACCATTTCTTGGATTAACCTTTCCCTTCAACTAAAACATGATTTTCTTCGTCTAAAACTGAGAATTTAGGATGCTCTGAACCAGGCCTCTGAGGTTTGACTCTTCTAGTTCGTTAGAATAAAAAGATATTGGCTCAGGTTGTCACAATTTTGAATCCATGGGGAAGCCAGAGGTGTCGTGCCTCTTAAAAAAGTCCATTGCTCATCGACTTACTGTGGCTAAAAGTCCATTGCCTCTTAAACAAGTAACATGTAAATCAATTATTTAGGTGAGATTTTGCCACATGATAGATATGCTGTGATCCTTTGAGAGATCGCCAGATTAGTTGGATTTGTACTTCTCAATCGAGGCAGGTCAAATTTTGGTTGGTTTTGACACTGCATACTCATTCAGCAAACTTTAAAACTTGATATAATCAAGTGATTAATCATACACAAATCTGACCTTGATTAAGTAATTTATACACTTAATTTTTCATTGCTTTTGGATGATAAAAAAACCTGTCATCCCAAATAATTGGAGTAATGAAATCAAACAAGTTTTCAAGAATACACTCAACATTGAAAAGATTGTCAGATTCTGATCACGGGAAAGCCTAACAAAAATCTACACGTATTCTTTATTCTTATCAAATAATGATATTAAGACATAATTTAAAAAAAACATGTATGATTGGAGGATGAAAATTATTATTTTTTGGGATAGAAAGTCGCTAGTTTTATTAAAAATAAAAAATATTCAAATTTATAATGAAGATTTACAAGTATAACCGTAAATTTAAAATATAATTATAATATTTTTCTATCACCATTGAAACAAAAACTAGCTAACTATATCACATAAGGACCAAAGAAGGAAAAGATTAAAAAACCTAACAAAAAAAACTTGAATAAAATGAATATACGAACAAATCTGACTGCATCGGTAAACGAATCACAAAAAGAGATGAAGCTACTGAAAGACCACCGACAAGACGACAAATCGCAAATCAGAGTCAAGCGAAGTGAGAAAACTATCTACGAACGCAAAACGAGTATCCAGATCAATCCGAGAGTCTAAAGCAGGAAAGATCACCATGATAACAAATAAACGTCATCTTGATAAGTCGTGGCGATGTCAAATCCAACCCTGAGAAAAAAGATAAACAAAAACAATGACAAAAAATCGTAAACAACAGTAAAAAAAACCGAAACCCACCAAAAGACAAAGAAAAACATGTCACAAAGACAGAGATAAACGTGTTATCTCTCCATTGTTTCAAGGGTCTTGATGTAAACCATGCGAGATTCTGGATATTTTATATCTTAGCCGTGCTGTAGGAAATAGAAGGTTTTGCCGATTCCAAGCGATCGACACGGGGGAAATTGTATTCATTGAACCTCCGAGTTTAAAAAATCACTCCGAGAGGTATTTGTTTTGTGTTAATTTCAACCCATGGTGCATATATAAAAGTTATGAAATTTGGAAGATAATACAAGTGCAGTTTATCTTTCCGTTAGTTGAATCCATTGATTGCCTGTGACTAGATGATTCTAGTTTTTGTAGCACAATAAGCCGGCCAGTGCGTATGGTTTTTGAAGTGATCAATTTGGCCATGCAAGGTGCTTCCTTTCTCATAGTGCATGGTGCATGTGGAAATATAGGTGTTAATGTTTATCTACGTTGCCTTCCTTTTGTACTTGAATGGCTTTCATTCCATCATAATCCAAATAAACACTGATTTAAATGTCTTTAATCCCATTTGTACTCGAAATGCAGATTACTTTTGCCATGTTCTCCATTACTGATTGATATGAGTCCAGTGAAGACAGTCGCCCCAACAGATTTCACTTGGAGGAGGAGCATCGAGAGGGCTTCATTTCTTCTTGAATAGGAAAAGTGCAACCATCCATTCTTCTCCATTATTGTATCCAAAGAGTTCTGCAACAGCGATAAAGAAGGTTCGCCAATAAACAGTCCATTTCACAGCCTGATCCTTGCCATATGTCGACTCCATTATTGATTTAACAGCGGCCGAGTTTTTGTCCATCCTCTTGAGCCACTCTTCACTGCAATATAAAACAGTTCTCTGAGAGTGTTTAGATTGTTAACATAGAAAGAAATAGTTTAGCCTCAAGAGTACAGTATTTCTCCAGGAAAAATCAGATTTGTAATGAATTTTATAAAACAACTGCTCTCACCTTGTTTGTGCATAATGTTTACCATTAACAAGCCAATGATTGACAACAGAAACATCATCCTGCACACAAAGGGTGAACAGATGGGCTCAAATATTGCGTATTCCTCTGTAAGGTTAGGCAACAGGCATCATGGCCTGTCATTTTTATTTCATACATAAGCCAGGAAGCAGTATGATATCAAAATCCATGGCTGTTGAATTTCAATTTTCGGTACTCATAGCATTTATGAGATGTAAAGAAGGTACAAGGTCTTGAATGTGAAATGCAAATCTTACCTGGAAATAGAGAAGCAGATTAGCAGAAGGCATTGTACCTCCTGTGAAGAAGTACCTAGTTATCCAGTCATCTTCGTTTATGTCCTACATAGTATTGTTTGATCAGCTAAGATCCCTTGCATTTAAAACATATTTTTGAAAACATTATGATGTCTAATTAGGCGTATAATTACGCTCGAAATTACAAACAATATTTCTCAGCACAATCAGTCTATATTGCATACCTCAAAGTGGTAAGCAAATGCTTTATGGCAGAAATAATGAACAAAAAGAAGAGCATCCTGTTTCATCCATTTTGATATCTTCTTCAGAAGAGCCTCGTAGTTCTTCATATGCTGTTAAAAGAAGGCTATCAATTTTCAAACTATCAACATTAAAACTGTATTTAGTAGCAGTGACTGACAACAAAATCAATGACCTCAAACATTTCAATCGAATATATCCTGTCGTACGACGCCTCCATTTCAAATGTGCTCATGTCTGCAACAATGATCTCCACATTCTGTAATTCTCCATCCCTATGAAGGGTAACAAAAATCAAAGTGATTAACATGGAATCTTACTTTCATTCAGCAAGCAGAGCGCATTACCGGCATTGCTCCTCAATAAAAGCTTTTTGAGTGGTGGAATTGCAAATCCCTGTGATTTTGCAGTTGGGGTATTTTCGGGCAATGTAAAGAGAAAGTGAACCCCATCCACAGCCGACATCAAGAACAGTGTGACCATCTCTTATTTGGGACCTTTCACAGTAAAGTTCCAACATTGCTTCCTCGGCATCGTCCAGAGTTGTTGACCCATCAGAAAAGTAACAGCAGCTGCATCGTTCCATGAAAGGCGGGAAAAGAAAACCATATCACCCAACAAGAACATTACCACAAAATCAAAAGCTTTCAACATGAAGAAGGTAAAAGAGAGGGAAAAAGACCTGTATTTGAAGTTCTTCCCCAAAACCAACTTGAAGAAAGAGGTTGGCAATTCATAATGTTGAGTTTTAGGCTTATCTGTCTTGATAGCTATGGGCATCTCCCTCAAGGCTACAAAGCAACAAACATAATTAAGTCAAACCGAATCAAATAGGGAAAAAAAAAGATAACATCTATCTAAGAATGATTACATACAATGAGCAAAGTGAAGGAGGTCGGAGAGTTGGAGTTCAGTAGAGGGTCTATAACCAGAGCGAAGACGACTAGCCAAGAGAAACCGAATCAACCTCATTATAACAGCATCAGGCAACAAATTGCGCTCCAGGGAACTCAACATGAGCCGCACCGTAGCAGCATAAGGCGCCTGCGTTAGACTCTCCATCACCAAACGCTATGCTCTGCTCGATTGATCCTTCAACTTTTCCTTCTGCTGAGACTAGAACCTCTTGAAGTTTCTTACTGTAATGGTTGGTTGATACTTGCTAGACGTGGAAGAAAGGATAACGACAGGTGTAATAAATAGCATTGGCATGTCTCATAAGTCGTGGAACCTTTTCGGTTTGTTTTGAACTTTCATGGTGGAATCGAATCACCCAATCAGAATTCAGGATCATTAATCCTTGTTTACAATTTGTTCATTTGTACCAATCTGAGGGCAGACGAACCCTTTCTACGAATCATAACATGGGGCTGGTAGCACCGTATCCTAATTGCCTACTATTGGGAAATTGTCAGACATTTGGGTTGCCTAAACTAGTTTTGAGTTCGACTTAGGTAAAACAGTCCGTAGTTCCTTGTAGGAAAGACATACATTAAAATAATATTATATAGTTTTTACTTTACACTCATATTTATAATTAATTTAATTCTAAAAGTTGTCTTAATATTTAAAAATCATCTTCGTGTAATAAAATTATATACCTATTTTTCTATAAAAATTAAAATAATAAATTGTAAATACTAACTTTAAATCTAAATAAAAAAACATAAAATTTAAGTTTCAAAACAAAATTGAATAACAAGCAACTTCAAAATTATTCAAAAACCCTAGTGCCGCTCGTTCTTTTGTATAAAGAATTACTTTTTTTTCATTTTAAATTTTTGGTTAGTAGACGGTGATATTAATATGGTGTTGGTTGTTATCGTCGATTTTCATGTATTCTTTACTTTTATTTTGTATTTCTTTATTTTTAATAATGTTGTCTTTATGACACGTTTTTTATATTTTCATGACACATTTTCTCTGTCTTTTAACACTTTCTTCAGTTTTATTTGATTGTTTGTGTCGTTTATTTTTCCGGGGTTGTATTTGATATAGTCACGACATATCAATATGACGTTCATTTATTATCCCACTGATCTTCTATTTTAGATCCTCGAATTATATTTAGATATGCAGTTCGTTTGTCGGTGGTCTTTCAATAGTTTAATCTTGTCTTGTAATTCATTTGTCATGGCAGTCAAATTTGTTTGTTTCTATCTATTGTTTTAGGTTTTTTTTAATGAGTTTTTTATTGTATGGTCCATATATGATCTCAAGTGAGTAATTTTTTTTGTTACTGGCTTTAGAGGAATGACCTGATAATGTGTTTAGTTTACGATTCTAATTGTAAGTCCTCGTTTTAATTTTAGATTTTTTAAAATAAAATTAGCTGCTTTTTTCTGTAAAAAAAACATAAAATTTCTTATGGTTACTTAATGTTTTTCGGGGCGTATGGTTTGTGTAAATACAGCGTGATACTGTCATAGCCAGGCTCCTTGGAATCTGAAGATGCCGTTGGTTCCATTTTCGGTAGAATAGTGGAAACCCTGCTAAATAGTGTCCAAAACCCAATAATGACTAAGAAGTTTTGGTTCTTGTTTTGATTTAGTCCAAAGCACAAAATGCATTCATCTTCTCAATAGAACAACTAGCAAGACTAGTGGCTTATTTAGGAACGAATTCAGCTATTCTAGACAGGGACGGGGCCACGATTTCAACTTGAGGGGATAAAGTATAACTTTTCTAAAGTTAGGGGGGCAATTTCATAATTATCCCATAAATATTTATATTTTATATATAAGTGAAATGTAAAAAATAAAAAAAATTGCCGTGTTGGGGCCTCCCACTACCGCCCTGATTCTAGAGTTTTCTTATTTAAGTGCTGATTTCAGGTGGAAAGGAGCCATTGAGAGGGCTTCATTTCTTCTCGAATAGGAAAAGTGCAGTCATCCATTCTTCTCCATTATTATATCCAAAGAGTTCTGCTATAGCGATAAAGAAGGTTCGCCAATAAACAGTCCATTTCACAGCCTGGTCCTTGCCATAGGTTGACTCCATTGTTGCCTTAATGGCCAGCCGTGTTTTTGTCCATCCTCTCGAACCATTCTTCACTGCAATATAAAACAGTTCTCCGAGAATGTTTAGATTGTTAACATAGAAAGAAATAGTTCAGCCTGTGCAGTTCAGTGTTTCTCCGGGAAGAATCAGAAATGTTGAGAAGTTAGCACAGATAATATATAAAATGGTACCGAATTTTTAAGTTGGTATCACAAAGCAACTGCTCTCACCTAGTTTTTGCATAATGTTTCCCGTTCACAAGCCAATGATCGACAGCAGAAACACCATCCTGCACAGAAAGGAATGACAAAAAAGTTCAGGCCTGTTGTTTTCTTTCATACAAGCAGTGCGACATGAAAACCTTTGGCTATTGAATTTCAATTTTCAGAACTCATAGCACATATGAGATGTAAAGAAGGCACAAGGTCTTGATTGCGAGATGCAGATCTTACCTGGAAATAAAGAAGCAGATTAGCTGAAGGCATTGTACCTCCTGTTAAGAAGTACCTAGTTATCCAGTCATCTTTACTGTTGTCCTAAATAAAGTAGTTTGACAAATTATTGTCAGATCGCTTGGATTTAAATTATACTTTGTAAAAGGTTTAATTTTCATTTCATAACACGAATTAAGTGATCTTAATGGTAAATAAATTATTATTATTGTTTGAGATCTTAAATTCGAACATCAAAAATATTAAGGTGTGAGCGTTTAATATCATATAATTGAGAAATATTTTGAAGCACGTACTAATAAAAAAATCATTTTACGTGTCAATTTCGTATATTCTTCAAAGTTTTTTTTACCAAACATAATTCCTAAACTTTCGGGGAAATTGTGACATATGACAAATAGAATTATAAAAGGTATAAAAAAAGTTTACAACTTTAAACTATATGTTTTAAAAAGAAAAAATAAAATATCCTAAAAATTTCTAAAAATTATGAAAATTTAAAAATAAATATTTTCAAAATATTGAGTTCCATATAATATGTAAATTACATAAATAGAAATTTGAACTAAAAATTATAAAAATGGAAAAAATAAAATTGTAAAAAAGTGTATACTTTTATAATATAAATCTAAAAAATAAAAAATTTGAAAATTAAAAAAAAAAGTTTAAAAATATACAATTTTATAAAATATAGTAAATTCAAAAAGATTAAAATCAATATCAGTCAACAACCAACCAACTAATTAACATATATCACTTAAAATTATAATTTTTTTAGTTTTAATATAAATTTTTATAATATTTTAAATAATGATGATATCATATCTAAAATACCCATTATTAGGGTTTTTTCTCTTTACCCATTATTAGGGTTTTTTGGTCGTTTGATCAGTTTAGCTCTTTGATCTCTTATGCGAGTAGTTTTGAAGGACTCTGGGTGTTTGGATCAAAGAAGTAGGGTAAGTGATGGGTGATTTAATTGAGGAATTAGAGAATTTGGATTTGGGAGCAAATGAGGAGGAAGTTTTCGACTTGATAATATGACAACAACTTCATTGATCTCTTTTGAGCAGTGTTTAGTGGGTCGTTTTATCACTATAGGTAATATTAATTTTCAGGCAATGAAGAAATTAAATCCTGTTTCATCCATTTTGATATCTTCTTCAGAAGTTGCTCGTAGTTCTTCATATGCTGTTAAAAGAAGACACTGCCAATTTTTAAACTATCGACATTGAACATATGTGAGAACTGCCTGGTAAACAAAAACAACCCACCTCAAACATTCCAATGTAATATATCCGATCGTATGATGCCTCCATTTCGAACGTGCTTATGTCTGCAACAATGATCTCCACATTCTGTAATTCTCCATCCCTATCAAGGGTAACAAAAATCAAAGTGATCAACATGGAATTTACTTTCATTCAGCAAGTAGAGAGCATTACCGGCATTGGTCCCCTATAAAAGCTTTTTGTGTGGCGGAATTGCAAATCCCTGTGATCTTGCAGTTGGGGTAATTTAGGGCAATGTAAAGAGAAGTGAACCCCATCCACAGCCGACATCACGAACAGTGTGATCGTCTTTTAATTGGGATATTTCACAGTAAAGTTCCAATTTTGCTTCCTTGGCATCGTCCATAGTTTTTGACCCATCAGAAAAGTAACAACAGCTGCATCGTTCCATGAAAGGTGGTAAAAGAAAACATTGTCACCCAACAAGAACAGTACCACAAAATCAAACGCTTTCAACACGATATGAACGTAAAAGAAAGGAAAAAGAAAACCTGTATTTGAAGTTCTTCCCCAAAACCAACTGGAAGAAAGATGTCGGCAACTTGTAATGCTGAGTTTTAGGCTCATCTGTCTTGATAGCTATGGGCATCTCCCTTAAGGCTACAAAGCAACAACCACACTTAAGTCAAACCGAATCAAATAGAAAAAGATAACATCTATCTAAGAATGATTACATACAATGAGCAAAGTGAAGGAGGTCGGAGAGTTGGAGTTCATTAGAGGGTCTATAACCAGAGCGAAGACGACTAGCCAAGAGAAACCGAGTCAACCTCCTTATAACAGCATCAGGAAACAAATTGCGCTCCAAGGAACTCAACATAAGCCGCACAGTATAGCAGCATAAGGCGCCTGCAATATTAGACTCTCCATCACCAAACGCTTTGCTAGATTGATCCTTCAACTTTTCTTTCGTGCATGAAGTTTCCTACACTTATGGTTGATTGCTATGAGCGGATAACAACCCAAGATGCCTGCTTGATGCTTGTCGATAGATGATTCAACGAATATAACGGGCCTTAGATATGTCGTGGAGCATTTTGGTTTGTTTTGAACCATTATAGTTGTACGATCCTCGTGGTCGAAACACCTAGTCATAATTCATAACCACTAATGCTGTTCATGACGGTTCCTAATAATCAATCCAGTAGATGATGAACCCATTCTATGGGTATTTTTTTTCTCGGCAATAAAGAGCTTATTTAGTACATTGCCAAAAGCAAAATGCAAGACGTAAGCTGTCAAAACTCCACAACAATCCAAAATAACCAAGATAAAGCATAATAATTCATGCATATATTGGGATGAATTTTTTTCTCTATATATCATATTTTAATCTGATTTGATAATATTAATTTTTTTTGGAAAAAAATTAAGTTAAACCGAATCAGTTTTTTATTTGTTTAGATTTATTAAATTAAATTCGATTTTGGGTTTAAAAGAATTTATCCAATTCTGTACTAAAATAAGTATATAGATATTTTATTATATATTTATATAATATTAGTTAATTTTTTATTAAAAAAATATATAAAATTATTCTATAATATACTAGGATGATAATATTAAATTAAAATTTAATTTAATTTAATAAATTAGTTTTTCAATTATTTTTATTTTAATAAAATTATGTAAATATATATATATAATTGAATCAAAATTAAATTTTAATTTAATAACATCATATGGAAGATGAGTCTCTATGCACCAGTCTTGGCGAACACATCATTCAAACTGATTGCTTCCCACCCTCATGCTCAAAGGTCACCCTCCTATAAATATTTTAAGACTATTATATATTTTATTTATATTTCCTTAGAAATACTAATCACCATGAAATATAATCTACTTTATCATTATAATATTTTTATATATTTAAAAATATATTTAGTCTATTAATTTAATTATTATAAAAAATGAGGATGGGTTCAATTAACGTATTTATACCCTTAGTGAAATTTTATTCTTAACAATTATAATCTACTTTAAGACCACACTTGGTGAAAGAGACCTTCTTGCATAACCCCCCAATTCCTACACTACAAAGGGTATTATCAACAATGTTTCACAAGGTCATTTGATTAAATGAAGTCATCCTGGGAAAAAAACATTTATTATATCCATCATGATTCTTGTAATGGTCTCATACACGCTGAAAAACAAGAAATAAGTCTAATGGTCCAAATGATCACGTGCGACAGTCTTAATATACGGCTAAAAAAATGATACCGGTTTTGTTATTATTTAAATAACAAAACCGCTAAAAAATTATCGAAAACATTATTATTTTTACCGGTTTTGTTATTATTGGGAGTTTTACCTGTTTTGTTATTTTTTATACCGGTTTTGTTATTATTAGGCACTTTACCGAAAATGTTAAAAAATTTTGATGTTTTAAATATAAATAATAATGTTTTAAATAATTTTTACTAATTTTATTAATTAAATAATAACAAAATCGATAACACCTTTTGTAGTTGTATATTAAAGATGTCACGCTGTAGAACTTTCCGTCCTATACACACTACACTGAAAAACAATAAATAAGTCCAAAATCCTTCACCATACAAGAATTTTGAGATTTCGGAACAATAACTAAAGCTGTAGCATTGAAAGCAAACAACAAGAATGAAAAAGTAAAGAAGGATCTCACAGTAAAAAAAAATCAGTCCTAACAATAGACCAAACAAACTTGAAATACAAGGAGGCTTTATCATTACCTTAATTGAAGATGACATTCTTTATTTTATGATTTTTATCATCAAAATTCTCCGTATTTGGCGCATTGTTAGGTTCAAGAGGCAAAGCATATTGAAAAAGATCTTGTAGGAGCTAGGGATGTGCAAAATCGGATATCGGATTTGATCCGAAAATTTAAATATTTAAAAAATTTCGGATACCTAAATAGTAATTCGTATCCAACATGAGAAAGCTGAATATCCCAAATTTGAGTATCCGATTTTTTCAAATGGGATATTTGGATATCCGAATATGAATATAAATTTAATTTGACAAAAAAATTAAATTTTAAATTTTGTGATTTAATGTTATATATTCGATACTTCTACTATGCTATATATATATATATATTTACTACACACAATAAATAATTAAATACTCTAATTTTTATTAAGTTAGAGTTTTAATGGGTTAGTGGGTTCCTCATTTATTAGGCTAAATGTATCTAAAATTTAAAGGTCCAATTTTTTCGAATTTTCGGATAATTCAAAAGTGGATTTTGTCATATCTATATCCGATCCGATTATCAAAAAAATGTATATCCAATCCGAATTATTCAAAAATTAAAAAATAGATCGAATATCCGAATTTTTAAATCAGATCAACAGATCGAATTTTTTGCAGAGCTTTATTCTTTAAAATTTTGATGACGTACCAATAAGGCTAGTGAAAAAGTTTGTAGCCTAAAAACTCTTCTCAAAGTAATGAATTCTATCCCCTAATAGTTCTGTAGAAATCTAATGGTATTCTTCTTCAGTTTGGAAACAACATAATGAAAGAACTAAATACTTTGGTCCCCCTCATGTAACCATTAGATTTCTGTCTATATAACAGAGACAGCCAGCTCCATTAACTATTAACTTTATAATTGATTAGTCGTACTAGCTCTTTTGTTGGCCAACTGTGCTTTAAGACCACGCAGCACACCCCATCGGACATTTTCAATTCCCTTGTTTCCGACATCAATTTGCCTTTTTCCTGTAGACTTCTTTTGACATATTGTCTTCTTGATTATTTGAGTTGTCAAGCAATTTTACTTTGCAGGTCCGTAATAGACTTCTTTTGACATATTGTCTTCTTGATTATTTGAGTTCTCAGGCAATTTTACGTTGCAGGTCCGTGCTATTATTTCGGATCCTTCCTGCTCTGAGTCTTGTACAGACACAGTCGTTGAGAGATTGGACCGCTTTCTTCCCTCTTATGTTGCAAGCACCTGCATACATTTTTGTTTCTTAAAAGCCTTTTAATGGTTATAGTAATCGCCTCTCATTTTGGTTTTGAGTCTGTTAAACAAGCTGAGCTACTGGCTGCTCGTAGTTATTAGTTATCTCAAGATTGTTCCATGTTTTCTCTTATTTTCATATCAAATTATGCAGGTCAAGCTGCAAATATAGATGGAAACAGAGAGACTTAACAAACTGGCCTCCTTTCGAAAGAAAGCACTAGAGCATGCGCTGAGATGTTAAGTACTACTTTTTACCCCCCCCCCTTTTCTAAGGACATGGAAATATTTGTAGAGCACTATTGATTGATTATGTTCAATATTTTCTGCTACAGTTCCACAAGTTGAGAGAATAGTCCACCCACCAAGTTGAGAGAAATCTGAGCAAGAAGACTAGTGTAAAGCCAATATTATTTGGCAGCATGTTCAAAATGTTGTAATCCTCTAAACAGTGTAACCAAGGCTTTAATCTGAACAACTATGGCTTCAATTGGTAACAAAGAACCAAACTTTATTAATTTCTTATGCTCATAAAACTTCAACTCTCACACAATCTGCAGAAAGTAAAAAAACACAGGCGGTTCTTTAACATTGTTCTCAAATCAAACAACCAACATTTTTATGCAACTTTGACCACGATGGTCTTGGGCTTTTTAGGCTGAGGCGGAGGTAATTTCTCCACAGTGACTCTCAGAACCCCATCTTGACAAACCGCGGATATCTTATCAGTATTCGCATTCTCAGGCAACTGGAACTTCCTCATGAACTTGCCGGTCCTCCTTTCCATCCTCACGTACTTCACCCCTTCTTTCTCGTCCTTCTCTTTCTCACGCTTTCGCTCCCCGCTCACGACGAGGACGTTGTCGTTTTCGATCTGGACCTTGATCTCGCTGTGGCTTATGCCAGGCATGTCGACGATGAATACGTAAGATGTCGGGTACTCCATCACGTCAGCTGGAGTGGCCGCCATGGCCTTCGCATCTCGAACATAGGCTCGAGACGGGTTGTTTCGGCTCTTTTCTTGCTCCTCCGGGATGTCAAGTATGTCTTCCAGGATTGTGAAGAGTGGAGAATCGAAGCCTAAGTTCCTCAAATCCATCAACAGAAGCTCTAAAAAAAGAAAAATAATGTGTGAAGACTCTTTGATACGTCGTGTAAAAGAACTTGTTCTGAATTCAGACTGATTTAGAAGGTGAAGAAATAATCCACATATATATAGGAGATAAGCAAGAGAGACGAGGGCTCTCGAGATTTATCGGTGAAGATGGAAAAGTGGGTAACGGGTTCTGTCTAGAATTCTGAGGAAGGTGAGCAAAAGTTCTGTAATTTTCTTCCCATAAGGCCATAAAGGGTAAAATTGGCCCAACATCCTGGTAAAAATGAATAATTCATTAGGTGATCTTCAAAATTAATTTAAGATTCACGATAAATGTTACGATACATGATTAATTTATCACGTCAACATGATGAGTTTATCTAAATAATATCTAAATAATATCAAATTCATTATATCGATGTGATGAGTTTCAATAAAATATATTTTTTTATTAGATTTTGTCACGTCGGAGTTACAAATTCTAATAAAAAATATATTTTATTAAAACTCATCACGTCAAAATGACGAGTTCCGAGTTACAATATAAAACTCCATAAATCTCAAAATAAAATATTTAGTGTCGTATTGAGCTAAATAATTAGCCTGACTATGGTATTGGAACAAAATTGCCGGCCATAAAGATAACAATACTTAATCTTACTGAATTGGTTCATATTGTCAATGAACCAATTCAATAAGATTAAGGATTCAGGTAGTATAATTGAAAAAATAATTTAATTAATATATAATATATTTATTAAATTATTGAATAAGACAATAATTCATCGACTTCATAATTTATTTAGAATTAAACACCGGATAAAAATATTTGATGCATTTTTAAAAACCTCAAGCAAATCGGTTATTTTGGCTATAGTTTTCCAACTCGAATCCGGATAAATGTCTGGGACATGACCCCTCTCGAAAAGCCGATCGTGAAATGTTTGCAATGTTTCCCTTTGCCTTAAGGCAGTATGCATCATCATCCAAGTTGAGTTCCAACGAGTTGGACAATCCAAATTAGGACCCAAAGCTTTTTTATTAACAGACTTACAAAATCGTTTATAATCATTTAGTCTTTTGTTGTTGTTACAAAGAATCGATTTTATCATTGTTTTAAATTCTAATCTAATTGGCTCAATAACCTCCAAACCGGCTTGCACGGATAAATTAATTATGTGTGCAACGCAACGGGTATGAAAAAACGCACCGTCTAAAATCGGTGAAAGTAATATTTTCAATCTTGGAACCGCGTTTGTATTATTCGATACATTATCAAAGGATATAGAAAAAACTTTATTTTCTAATTTATAAAGACAAATTATCCGTTTTAAAAGTGTAAATAAATTAGCACCGGTATGCGGCTCACCGAATAATTCAAACGCGATTGTTCTTTTCATCATTTGCCAATTATCTTGATCTAACCAATGTGACGTAACGGCTAAAAAAGAATTTCCGGTATTATGAGGGGAACTCCAAACGTCACATGTAAGCGACACCATAACGGTGTTCTTGGAATCCTAAAATCATTTTTCCCTCGCCGTACGCCACATTTTTATAGCATCTCTTCTAAGGGTAGTACGACTTACTTGAGTATAACGTGGTTGCATTAGTTGTTGAATTGTTGTCGTGAAATCTTCATCATCAAAGTGGTCGAACGGCAATGCTTTTGTAATCACGAACTTTGTAAACGCTTCTCGTAATTTTTCGTTGTCGTAAACAAAAACACCACCTTGCGGTGTAAGATTCGATTGACTAGGATCCGATCTTGAGCGAAGTGCCTTGCATGATTTTGTCAAATGGTTCTTCAACGTTGTGTTTCCTTCCGATGCAAGAAACTTTAGACAAAGTTTACAACGCGCCCTCCTCGAGCCATTTGACATCTCACATAAATCGTAGTGATCCCAAATATCTTTGTTTCGAGTGTGTTCGATCACTCTCACGACTTCAAGGTTTCCCCCGACGGAAGATTCAGCAGTGTTACTCATGATGAATAAAAAATTACAAAACTAAGATTTGAGAGATGTTTAAGTGTTGTGTAATAAGATTTGAGAAAGTTGTAATCAACCAAATACATCCCCAACCTATTTATACATGTTTAGGATGGTAAAATAGTAATTTTTTAAAGAAAAAAACGGTCAAAAACGGTCACAAACGGCTATATTAACGGCTAGTTTTTTAAACCCATACCGGTTTTTTTTCGGATAAAAACCGGTTTTTTAACCGGTTTTTTTCAAACCGGTTTTTTATCCGGTTAAAAAACCGATCTGGGTTTTTTTCTCCAAACCGGTTAAAATAACCGGTTTAAAAAAATCCGATCCGGTTAAAAAAAAACCGGTTTTTCCCAAAACCGATTTCGGATATTTTTTTCGGATATTCGGATATTCAGATTTTTTGTGCACCCCTAGCTGTAGGAAATAGAAGGTTATGCCGATTCCAAGCGATCGACCCGGGGGGAAATTGTATTCATTGAACCACCGAGTTTAAAAAATCACTCCGAGAGGTATTTGTTTTGTGTTAATTTCAACCCATGGTGCATTTATAAAAGTTGGGAAATTTGGAAGATAATACAAGTGCAGTTTATCTTTCCGTTAGTTGAATCCATTGATTGCCTGTGACTAGATGATTCTAGTTTTTGTAGCACAATAAGCCGGCCAGTGCGTATGGTTTTTGAAGTGATCAATTTGGCCATGCAAGGTGCTTCCTTTCTCATAGTGCATGGTGCATGTGGAAATATAGGTGTTAATGTTTATCTACGTTGCCTTCCTTTTGTACTTGAATGGCTTTCATTCCATCATAATCCAAATAAACACTGATTTAAATGTCTTTAATCCCATTTGTACTCGAAATGCAGATTACTTTTGCCATGTTCTCCATTACTGATTGATACGAGTCCAGTGAAGACAGTCGCCCCAACAGATTTCACTTGGAGGAGGAGCATCGAGAGGGCTTCATTTCTTCTTGAATAGGAAAAGTGCAACCATCCATTCTTCTCCATTATTGTATCCAAAGAGTTCTGCAACAGCGATAAAGAAGGTTCGCCAATAAACAGTCCATTTCACAGCCTGATCCTTGCCATATGTCGACTCCATTATTGATTTAACAGCGGCCGAGTTTTTGTCCATCCTCTTGAGCCACTCTTCACTGCAATATAAAACAGTTCTCTGAGAGTGTTTAGATTGTTAACATAGAAAGAAATAGTTTAGCCTCAAGAGTACAGTATTTCTCCAGGAAAAATCAGATTTGTAATGAATTTTATAAAACAACTGCTCTCACCTTGTTTGTGCATAATGTTTACCATTAACAAGCCAATGATTGACAACAGAAACATCATCCTGCACACAAAGGGTGAACAGATGGGCTCAAATATTGCGTATTCCTCTGTAAGGTTAGGCAACAGGCATCATGGCCTGTCATTTTTATTTCATACATAAGCCAGGAAGCAGTATGATATCAAAATCCATGGCTGTTGAATTTCAATTTTCGGTACTCATAGCATATATGAGATGTAAAGAAGGTACAAGGTCTTGAATGTGAAATGCAAATCTTACCTGGAAATAGAGAAGCAGATTAGCAGAAGGCATTGTACCTCCTGTGAAGAAGTACCTAGTTATCCAGTCATCTTCGTTTATGTCCTACATAGTATTGTTTGATCAGCTAAGATCCCTTGCATTTAAAACATATTTTTGAAAACATATGATGTCTAATTAGGCGTATAATTACGCTCGAAATTACAAACAATGTTTCTCAGCACAATCAGTCTATATTGCATACCTCAAAGTGGTAAGCAAATGCTTTATGGCAGAAATAATGAACAAAAAGAAGAGCATCCTGTTTCATCCATTTTGATATCTTCTTCAGAAGAGCCTCATAGTTCTTCATATGCTGTTAAAAGAAGGCTATCAATTTTCAAACTATCAACATTAAAACTGTATTTAGTAGCAGTGACTGACAACAAAATCAATGACCTCAAACATTTCAATCGAATATATCCTGTCGTACGACGCCTCCATTTCAAATGTGCTCATGTCTGCAACAATGATCTCCACATTCTGTAATTCTCCATCCCTATGAAGGGTAACAAAAATCAAAGTGATTAACATGGAATCTTACTTTCATTCAGCAAGCAGAGCGCATTACCGGCATTGCTCCTCAATTAAAGCTTTTTGAGTGGTGGAATTGCAAATCCCTGTGATTTTGCAGTTGGGGTATTTTCGGGCAATGTAAAGAGAAAGTGAACCCCATCCACAGCCGACATCAAGAACAGTGTGACCATCTCTTATTTGGGACCTTTCACAGTAAAGTTCCAACATTGCTTCCTCGGCATCGTCCAGAGTTGTTGACCCATCAGAAAAGTAACAGCAGCTGCATCGTTCCATGAAAGGCGGGAAAAGAAAACCATATCACCCAACAAGAACATTACCACAAAATCAAAAGCTTTCAACATGAAGAAGGTAAAAGAGAGGGAAAAAGACCTGTATTTGAAGTTCCCCAAAACCAACTTGAAGAAAGAGGTTGGCAATTCATAATGTTGAGTTTTAGGCTTATCTGTCTTGATAGCTATGGGCATCTCCCTCAAGGCTACAAAGCAACAAACATAATTAAGTCAAACCGAATCAAATAGGGAAAAAAAAAGATAACATCTATCTAAGAATGATTACATACAATGAGCAAAGTGAAGGAGGTCGGAGAGTTGGAGTTCAGTAGAGGGTCTATAACCAGAGCGAAGACGACTAGCCAAGAGAAACCGAATCAACCTCCTTATAACAGCATCAGGCAACAAATTGCGCTCCAGGGAACTCAACATGAGCCGCACCGTAGCAGCATAAGGCGCCTGCGTTAGACTCTCCATCACCAAACGCTATGCTCTGCTCGATTGATCCTTCAACTTTTCCTTCTGCTGAGACTAGAACCTCTTGAAGTTTCTTACTGTAATGGTTGGTTGATACTTGCTAGACGTGGAAGAAAGGATAACGACAGGTGTAATAAATAGCATTGGCATGTCTCATAAGTCGTGGAACCTTTTCGGTTTGTTTTGAACTTTCATGGTGGAATCGAATCACCCAATCAGAATTCAGGATCATTAATCCTTGTTTACAATTTGTTCATGTGTACCAATCTGAGGGCAGACGAACCCTTTCTACGAATCATAACATGGGGCTGGTAGCACCGTATCCTAATTGCCTACTATTGGG